ACAAAGCATGCCATGTAAGCTAAGCAGCATGCACAGTATATAACATTTGAAGCAACTTTTAAAATTCATAAAAATCCAAATTTGATTTGAATCAGCTCAAATTTTGGGGCAAAATACAAGCATGTATATGCATTAGAAAAATTATTTCAATGGAGAATTTTCTCCTTGTGATTTTGTTAAATTACCCTATATAGTACAGGGTCTTTGGCCCAATTTTTGAGCAACTTGATGATTCACTGACAAGAAACTACGTGTATGAGCACTATATAAAAATCATATACAAAGCACTGAGTGCATGTATGCATTTAAATATTATAGTTTCATCAACTAAAGGAGATGCATGCATTGGTGTTAAGAAATAGGGGCCCTGATGAAATTCTTAACAATTGCTTCTTAAAATGTTATGTATCATACTGAACAGATCTATGTACAAAAATATAAATCTGACCACATCAGAGGATGATGTTATTATTATAAGATATACATGTAGATTTTATTTTGCTTAAAAATGTTTAAAAACACATTCATTCATGCATGACTTGTGGGATTTGCCTCCCGGCCCTAATGCAAATTTTATTTCTACTGTATAAAACTATATATTCATATACATGTGTACAATAGCCTTGATGTTCATATAAGTTGGCATTTTGTCATGTTATCTTCATGGATATTACAAGTATTAATGAAGTGAACACATATGCACATTGTGTATACTCACTTTATATCCACATAAACTCATTCTATTTTTTAATTATTTAGGAATAAGGATAGAAAATTAAGACGAAAGACAGAGGGAGTAAGGTCAGTATTCCTTAATTTGATCTTATACTGTAACATATATACAGTCAGTTAATGGAATGGATTAGCTTTATTGTGTACATTTTTGGGATTTTTAAATACGTTGTATATGAATTATTTTCACTTTTTCTAGTGATCAGCTATAATCAAGCACAAATTACTTGTTTCTTTTATTCTACATGTACTAATACATGTATTTTATGTTGTACTTGTAGTATATCACATAATTATTAATATTGCATTTGTTTCTTGCTGTAGGTTGACAAAGAAGAGGGAATTCAAATCACAACTGACTAAAATTTGTTTCATGTTCATGCTATTAAAAACTAATTTTTCTAATTGCAAAATAATTAATGTTGTGCTCTTAAATTTAGTGGCTATAATAAATATAATAAAGACATAAGTCATAATAATAATAATAATAATAAAACAATCCATCTTGTATGTCTGCTCCACTCTCATTAGCTCTGAGGCTGAGCTAAGTTAATGATAATTAAACTTGTATGGTTTAATAATTATTAATTAATTTGTCCACACCTAGAATGGCTTCAAGCTTAGAGGTTGGAGAGAAGGTGAACAAATACTTAATTCCTGTGTAGGATTGTTATTTGTTACAGATTGAATCATTTTTTACAATTACAAGGATTTATAGTAGTCAAGATGGTGAGTCACATTTTGGAACTGTGAAAATAAAGATGAAAGGAAAAGGTTAGTGTAGATCTACAATAATTAGAAAAGCAAATGTGCTAAACAGCTACTTCATGGCCTGTAGTTTATACATACTTTTAAAGTAACTTTATAAATTCAATTTTGATTGGAATCAGCTCAAATTTTCTACACAACATAAAAACATGTACC